GATACTTCGTGGATTTTGAGACTACAAAGTCGGCCGAAACTCGATGAAACACAAACTTCACTACCAGCGATGGGAAAGACAAGGATTTATGAAAGTTTAATTTCAAAACAATCCTTTGGTAAGCCCATTTATTTTCTCAAACCTTCCCAACCTTCAATTGTGCCAGGCGTCACTAGAGTTGTCGATGGGGAAAACTTTGTTGAAGTTTGCAAGTCAAAAGGCAAGTCGATTCTATCGCTACAAAAATTTTTAGAGTTTGCGTTTTTATTCTAAAATCCATTTTACTTCACATATTTCTTTAGTTGTTCAGTTATATTGACAAGCAATTGCTTTTGACTTTCAGGAGCGATTTATTACTATATCGAGAATGGCTTGATTGGCGAAGGTGGATTTGATGGAGTATTCAAGGGTGATGCCATAAAAAGAACTAAAAAAACACCGGTAATTCTCACACAATGTCTCTGCTTCAAAAAACAAGCATTTTCCTTGGCATTATTGGCCATATTGTCCTGCTTCTGAGATGAATTAAGATTCCAAAATCTTACTAGGTTGCCAGCCGTTGCGTTGATTTTTCAGGAAAACCATCCGGTTTTTCATTTACCAAGAGATCGATTTTGCAATTTTTACATTTCAGACAAAGGGATTCAGGTAAACATTGACATTTCTTTGCTGTTAAGATTAAAAGTGTTCAAATTTCTGGCACAATGGCACTCAATAAGTACTTTATTGGTGCCAGGCGAAGAAAGTCAGCATAATTTTCCTTTATCCTTGAGTTATTATTGTCTTGATGATGACACTAATAATGCTGTCATTGCTGTGGCTATATTGCTAGCCTTGTTAATTCATTATTTTTGTCCTTTTAGATTAGAACAGAATTTTGCAACATTGCATGGGGAAAGACATGAGGGGATTCAATAAATAAATGAGAGACCAATGGTAACTGAGCAAATCTGATAATTAGGAAGTTTTAGATCAAAGAGGACATTATATTATAATAATGATTAGCCTAAATCTAGTTTTTCCATGAATACATACCATATTTTATGTGGTATTATCTGTAAAAGATACATGTATTCATATCATGCTAAATATATGTTTTTATGCCAGCCCATTGTTCTTTATGGATGACTCTGACATGGTATCAAAAGTCAAAAACTGTTCATAACCTGGACTATTGGCAGCCGGATGACTTAAAGAGATAAGCTCTGTTGAACATTTTGATTGCATAAAAAAACGGTAGTAATGTAATTTTATATATCGTAACATTATTATTGCTTCAACATGTTTGCTTGTAACTTATCCATGCTATGAAAATTGTTATCCATACCTATAAATTTTGCTGTATGGTACAACTTATTTGTATACTTGCTAAAATTTGTTGTAATCACCTATATAGGTATTTATATGCATATGTTTCTTTTGACTCTTTAGTGTGACGGCATGCTTAACTTAATAGTACATTTTTTAAATGTTTGTAAATAATACCTATAGATAACGAAATGTAGTGAAATCATGTAAGCCAACATTTTTTGTCGTGTTTGTTTTGTAATACAGATATGAAACTGAAGCCAAATCGAGTCACACGTTTTTTTGCCCAATGTGCGCATGACGTAACTTGCTTGGCAAGTGTCATGTTGAAATTTAATAAGTAAATCGATAGAAAATCGAATTATTGACAAACAAATGCTGATTTAAACCAAACCTTTAAGGCGATGTCTATTTTTTGTTATTTTAACTTACACATCAGTTTTTACATCGTCTTATTTAACACCCGAAGTTTGTGTGGTTTAGTTTTTGCACTTTTGGCGCTAGCATTGGAGCGACTAAATAGCATAAGCTATATAATCATACGAAGTATACAAAATGCGACTTGAAAATATTTATTTCTACATATGCTTTGACAGGAAAATTTATGTACAAGAATGTATAAAATGTCTAGGGTACTTAACGTCCTTCAAGTCTGTAGTACAGATCGTTAAACAACTCGAGCCTGAAAACAAAATAGAAAATTCGATCGAATCATGAATTGTTTCATCCATGATTCTATACTTCTCTACTACATACTGCAGGACTAATAACATTGTGTGAACTGTGCAGCAATATAGAGAATAAGACGCTGAGGTATATTATATATTAGGTATCTGGAATCGTTTTTATGACGCGGGAAGCAAGACAGAAGTTTTAATATTTGCAAATCCTGATAGATAAATGTCGTGGACTCACACATTTGTTATCGGCGTCTCCCCGTCGTTTTGTTCCAACAAGACTCTCAAATAATAGTCGCCTGATAGGAGAGATACGTTACTGAGTTTGATTGCGATCAAGGGATAGGGGGGGGGGGCGCTTTAAGAAGAACTGTTAAAAACCTAGAGCAGTATAAGGCTTATCACTAACCTATTTTCAGTTGATCAGCTAAACATTCATGCAGGACTTCAAACTAAAGATGATTCCAAAAAACAACGTAGTTTCCACTCAGGTCTTTTTCCATTGCAAATTTGCGCATCTCAGATTCGAGAGCCCCAGAAGTTCCTCTCGCGTCTGTCACATTGAAAAGAAAAGAAATTTTTTCATACTCTTTTACGACAACAGTTTAGAGAAAGAGGTCAGGACTATTGAATTGTCTTGTTATACTCATAGCGACAGAAAAATCTCCATTACCTTTTCATTTCCTATATTTTCAATGGAAACTAACTTTAACTTCGAGACTCACCTTGTAATTCCAAATCAGGTTGTACGCTGTCAGATCTTGACTGAATCTGTAAAAAAGATCCGTTTAAATACCATTGCTTTTTCATCTTTCAAACGACTAGAACATTTCCCATTTTCTTAATATGAACACTTACTTGTAATAAAACAACTGGATTTAAATTCTCACATCTTTCCTGGCTTTGAATCCTATTTTTGTCCTCCAATGCGAGAGATATCCTTCAAGTTGATTCCTTGACGTTCCTCTCGCTTTTCCTGAGCTGTAACAGACAAGTATAGCGCGTGAAATAACAGGCTTATACGTACATACAAGCATGCATCATGAAATTTTGGAACACGATTGTTGCTTTAAAACGTACTCTGCAAGCTTTACATTGTCACGAATTGATAAATGATCTTCTTTAGTCTCCGGTGGCTGAAGGAAAGATAAAAACTTTCCAACAAAATTGCTTCTTTACAAAAAGGTTTTACACTTCTGAATGAATTACTATGTAATTATTTCGTCAGTGGGGCAATTGGCACAGTATAAGGATGAATGATGGAGTTTAGTTACCAAAGCAGTTGATACCACTTAGTCACTATTATGATTGGTTAGTCAGAACCACTGGAATGGGTTTATGTAAATAATGGCCCTTGCAAAAAATTCTCAAAGATTTCCTACCTCGTCAGGGCTTTCAAGGTAATAGAGCAAACCAGCAGGCTGTGAAAATCGTATTCAAATTTATTACATAATGGTTTATGAACCAAAACTTACGAACAGGAAATCCCGCATTTAAACTTTATTGTATATTTTAGACATTAAAAACTATAACTGCTTTAATACGAACATTATTCTCACAAGTAATGCCATTGCTCTTGGATGACCAGTTGTCCAGAGAGCCACTAGATGTCCACTCAATTGCCTATATGCCAACAATAAAGATTATAAATTACTTATGGAGTATGCTTGTTAGTTTCAATTGAACTATTTACAGATGGCTAGTATATAGAGGATTATAAAATCACAAGTTTTAAGATGAATCTAAGAATGTTGCTAAAATACAACTCAGGTCCTCCGGATGGAATCGAGGCTATACATCTGCAACAATTTTTTAATTTATCACACTAATTCGCACCTGTTCAGTAGCGAACGTCTATCAGTGCTTTGCGTAATCATGGCCATGCGTAAGCGTTTTGGTAGAGCGCCCTTGGCAAGCGCCAAATCTTGTATTTTTGCCGCGGTTTCTTCATCAGCTTCCTAAAGTGAAGTTCAAAATAAATATCAACAGATGATTTTAGGCACTTCACACGGTGCAGGAATATTCTAGAGGTTTTAAAGGGTCTTAATTTCGTATGGTATTATACACACTTCAAATTCAAGCCAGGAACAGTTGATGGAAAAATTAGTCAACTATACGTTCTCAGTGACAAGAGCATTGCACCGGCATCGCAAAAGCGATTCCTGCCGGAGGATCTATAGTTGACTCATTTTTCCATCAACTGTTCCTGTCTTGAATTGAAGTGTGTATAATACTTCTCAAAATTAAGACGCTTTAAAACCTCTTAAATATCAACTGTTGTGAAAAGACAGTAGTTTGAATATTTGCAAATCCTGATAGATAAATGTCGTGGACTCACACATTTGTTATCGGCGTCTCCCTGTCGTTTTGTTCCAACAAGACTCTCAAATAATAGTCGCCTGATAGGAGAGATACGTTACTGAGTTTGATTGCGATCAAGGGATAGGGGGGGGGCGCTTTAAGAAGAACTGTTAAAACCTAGAGCAGTATAAGGCTTATCACTAACCTATTTTCAGTTGATCAGCTAAACATTCATGCAGGACTTCAAACTAAAGGTGATTCAAAAAACAACGTAGTTTCCACTCAGGTCTTTTTCCATTGCAAATTTGCGCATCTCAGATTCGATAGCCCCAGAAGTTCCTCTCGCGTCTGTCACATTGAAAACAAAAGAAATTTTTTCATACTCTTTTACGACAACAGTTTAGAGAAAGAGGTCCGGACTATTGAATTGTCTTGTTATACTCATAGCGAAGGAAAATCTCCATTACCTTTTCATTTCCTATATTTTCAATGGAAACTAACTTTAACTTCGAGACTCACCTTGTAATTCCAAATCAGGTTGTACGCTGTCAGATCTTGACTAAATCTGTAAAAAAGATCCGTTTAAATACCATTGCTTTTTCATCTTTCAAACAACTAGAACATTTCCCATTTTCTTAATATGAACACTTACTTTTAATAAAACAACTGGATTTAAATTCTCACATCTTTCCTGGCTTTGAATCCTATTTTGTCCTCCAATGCGAGAGATATCCTTCAAGTTGATTCCTTGACGTTCCTCTCGCTTTTCCTGAGCTGTAACGACAAGTATAGCGCGTGAAATAACAGGCTTATACGTACATACAAGCATGCATCATGAAATTTTGGAACACGATTGTTGCTTTAAAACGTACTCTGCAAGCTTTACGTTGTCACGAATTGATAAATGATCTTCTTTAGTCTCCGGTGGCTGAAGAAAAGATAAAAACTTTCCAACAAAATTGCTTCTTTACAAAAAGGTTTTACACTTCTGAATGAATTACTATGTAATTATTTCGTCAGTGGGGCAGTTGGCACAGTATAAGGATGAATGATGGAGTTTAGTTACCAAAGCAGTTGATACCACTTAGTCACTATTATGATTGGTTAGTCAGAACCACTGGAATGGGTTTATGTAAATAATGGCCCTCGCAAAAAATTCTTAAGGATTTCCTACCTCGTCAGGGCTTTCAAGTTAATAGAGCAAACCAGCAGGCTGTGAAAATCGTATTCAAATTTATTACATAATGGTTTATGAACCAAAACTTACGAACAGGAAATCCCGAAATAAACTTTATTGTATATTTTAGACATTAAAAACTATAACTGCTTTAATACGAACATTATTCTTACAAGTAATGCCATTGCTCTTGGATGACCGGTTGTCCAGAGAGCCACTAGATGTCCACTCAATTGCCTATATGCCAACAATAAAGATTATAAATTACTTATGGAGTATGCTTGTTAGTCTCAATTAAACTATTTACAGAAGGCTAGTATATAGACGATTATAAAATCACAAATTTTAAGATGAATCTAAGAATGTTGCTAAAATACAACTAAGGTCCTCCGGATGGAATCGAGGCTATACATCTGCAACAATTTGTTAATTTATCACACTAATTCGCACCTGTTCAGTAGCGAACGTCTATCAGTGCTTTGCATAATCATGGCCATGCGTAAGCGTTTTGGTAGAGCGCCCTTAGCAAACGCCAAATCTTGTATTTTTGCCGCGGTTTCTTCATCAGATTCCTAAAGTGAAGTTCTAAATAAATATCAACAGATGATTTTAGGCACTTCACACGGTGCAGGAATATTCTAGAGGTTTTAAAGGGTCTTAATTTCGTATGGTATTATACACACTTCAAATTCAAGCCAGGAACAGTTGATGGAAAAATTAGTCAACTATACGTTCTCAGTGACAAGAGCATTTCACCGGCATCGCAAAAGCGATTCCTGCCGGAGGATCTATAGTTGACTCATTTTTCCATCAACTGTTCCTGGCTTGAATTGAAGTGTGTATAATACTTCTCAAAATTAAGACGCTTTAAAACCTCTTAAATATCAACTGTTGTGAAAAGACAGTAGTTTGAATATTTTCAAATCCTGATAGATAAATGTCGTGGACTCACACATTTGTTATCGGCGTCTCCCCGTCGTTTTGTTCCAACAAGACTCTCAAATAATAGTTGCCTGATAGGAGAGATACGTTACTGAGTTTGATTGCGATCGAGGGATAGGGGGGGCGCTTTAAGAAGAACTGTTAAAAAGCTAGAGCAGTATAAGGCTTATCACTAACCTATTTTCAGTTGATCGAGACTCACCTTGTAATTCCAAATCAGGTCGTACGCTGTCAGATCTTGACTGAATCTGTAAAAAAGATCCGTTTAAATACCATTGCTTTTTCATCTTTCAAACGACTAGAAAATTTCCCATTTTCTTAATATGAACACTTACTTGTAATAAAACAACTGGATTTAAATTCTCACATCTTTCCTGGCTTTGAATCCTATTTTTGTCCTATAATGCGAGAGATATCCTTCAAGTTGATTCCTTGACGTTCCTCTCGCTTTTCCTGAGCTGTAACAGACAAGTATAGCGCGTGAAATAACAGGCTTATACGTACATACAAGCATGCATCATGAAATTTTGGAACACGATTGTTGCTTTAAAACGTACTCTGCAAGCTTTACATTGTCACGAATTGATAAATGATCTTCTTTAGTCTCCGGTGGCTGAAGAAAAGATAAAAACTTTCCAACAAAATTGCTTCTTTACAAAAAGGTTTTACACTTCTGAATGAATTACTATGTAATTATTTCGTCAGTGGGGCAGTTGGCACAGTATAAGGATGAATGATGGAGTTTAGTTACCAAAGCAGTTGATACCACTTAGTCACTATTATGATTGGTTAGTCAGAACCACTGGAATGGGTTTATGTAAATAATGGCCCTTGCAAAAATTCTCAAAGATTTCCTACCTCGTCAGGGCTTTCAAGGTAATAGAGCAAACCAGCAGGCTGTGAAAATCGTATTCAAATTTATTACATAATGGTTTATGAACCAAAACTTACGAACAGGAAATCCTGCATTTAAACTTTATTGTATATTTTAGACATTAAAAACTATAACTGCTTTAATACGAACATTATTCTCAAAAGTAATGCCATTGCTCTTGGATGACCAGTTGTCCAGAGAGCCACTAGATGTCACTCAATTGCCTATATGCCAACAATAAAGATTATAAATTACTATGGAGTATGCTTGTTAGTCTCAATTGAACTATTTACAGATGGCTAGTATATAGGGATTATAAAATCACAAGTTTTAAGATGAATCTAAGAATGTTGCTAAAATACAACTCAGGTCCTCCGGATGGAATCGAGGCTATACAACTGCAACAATTTGTTAATTTATCACACTAATTTGCACCTGTTCAATAGCGAACGTCTATCAGTGCTTTGCGTAATCATGGCCATGTGTAAGCGTTTTGGTAGAGCGCCCTTGGCAAGCGCCAAATCTTGTATTTTTGCCGCGGTTTCTTCATCAGCTTCCTAAAGTGAAGTTCTAAATAAATATCAACAGATGATTTTAGGCACTTCACACGGTGCAGGAATATTCTAGAGGTTTTAAAGGGTCTTAATTTCGTGTGGTATTATACACACTTCAAATTCAAGCCAGGAACAGTTGATGGAAAAATTAGTCAACTATACGTTCTCAGTGACAAGAGCATTGCACCGGCATCGCAAAAGCGATTCCTGCCGGAGGATATAGTTGACTCATTTTTCCATCAACTGTTCCTGGCTTGAATTGAAGTGTGTATAATACTTCTCAAAATTAAGACGCTTTAAAACCTCTTAAATATCAACTGTTGTGAAAAGACAGTAGTTTGAATATTTGCAAATCCTGATAGATAAATGTCGTGGACTCACACATTTGTTATCGGCGTCTCCCCGTCGTTTTGTTCCAACAAGACTCTCAAATAATAGTCGCCTGATAGGAGAGATACGTTACTGAGTTTGATTGCGATCAGGGATAGGGGGGGGCGCTTTAAGAAGAACTGTTAAAAAGCTAGAGCAGTATAAGGCTTATCACTAACCTATTTTCAGTTGATCAGCTAAACATTCATGCAGGAC